AAATAATATTCATGGCGACCAAAATAAAAAAAAATATATTTTCTGAAAATTCATAATCTACGATTTACGATTAGGGCAGTGGTTTACTATATAAAACTATTTTATTACTTACTTTTGAGTTTTCCCATTTCTAGCGATAAAATCCACCACCGCTGGATGTCGCACCTTACACCACCAATACACAATTGTAAATTTTAAACTAACCGATTTCTCGTCATTTGTACAAACTTAAACTATTTCCACCTATTTTAGACAGCACCGTCGCCGGTCTTGATTTCAAGACCATGTCAAGGTTTGGTAATTAACGATATTGCACTATACGGATCAACAACCTTTTTGCTACTGAAAGGAAGTTTTGTAATTCTGGTAATCGGTGATTTTATAGTCCAAGAAGTTTAGATTGCAGATTTGCATCCAATAGAGTAATTACATTTGCACAAGAGATTGGCAAGGTTGTTATTAAAACTATATTAATAATGAAGACATAATATTTTAGAGCAGAAATAAATTTGATTTTATGATAAGGCTATTAGAATTATTATTACATTAATAAGACTGTTATTGTGTTTATTATTTCGCATTCTTTGCCCATTTCTCGCAATACCTCCGTGTTAGTTTTCTTCTGTATCCAGGCTATTCAATTTTACGCCTAGATAAAGCTTTTTAATTATTTTTTTATTCTATGTCATTTAATAGTTACTTCATTACACCCAGTGCCATTGTTGTTAATATCAATATAGTTCATTATTTAGTGCATTTATTTATGTCATTACTTATTATTATTAGTATCAATTATGTTTACAAATATTATTACATATATCGTAATGCAGGTTTCCGTTTAAATTAATTGTTTCTAACTGGGTTATTATGTAGAAATCCACATAATACATAAAATATGGTAATCATACTAACTTTATAACAAATTGTAGTCGTTTATTTAACATTTTATATTACTGGATCTTAAACAAAAAGTGTAACACTGATCGTGCACAACAAAAGTCATTAATGAGATATATTTTTACAATAAATAAAATATATACCAGTATTAGTATGGGAACTGGCCTAAAATAACATACGTTCAGCAAAACCTTTCATAATTTTTAACAACTAATATCATCAAAAGTCTGAAAAACCGAATAAAAAGAATTTGTCACCCTTCTAACTAGAATAAGAACATCAAGTTACTTTATGAGATTCTTAGAAAAAATCACTATCATAAGATGCTGCTGAACAAACTGCTCTTCCAAGATATGCCAATGGCAAGAACACACCAACAACAAGCATTAGAAGGAGAATCAGTAGAAGTGTTCTATGGGAGATTGCCTTACATCAGGGGTCTATCACCACAGATCACACACCTTTTCAGACAGTTTAACATAGTGATAGCAAATTCAGTATAGAGAAGATTAGTAACATACTTCACTCACCTGACAGAAAAAGTTAAAAAACTGGATAACGTTAATAAAGTGTATTCCATGTGGTTCCTGTTCGGAAGTGTATGTCGGTCAAACTAGCCAGAAACTATCAAAAATAATAGCTTTGCTCAAGAGTGATGTTATGAGGAAACCTACAAGTACAGCTTTTAGCCAACATATTAAGAATACTGGACATATTGCCAACTATGACAATGTGGAAGTACTAAAAAAGGTGGACAAACAATTCAAAAGAAATTTCATAGAAATGTGCAACATCCATAACTGTAGCTCTTCTATGAACTGTAAGAAAGATGTGGAAAACTTGAGTTGTATTTACTCATTTTTGCTTCAACAAGACCTAACAAGACGTGACAGACTGGAATATGGAGGCAACTTGTCATGACATACATAGATGACGTACCTGCACTTGAGAATAGATTTCATCTCCCGGCTGATTGTATTTCTTTCTCGATGTGACATCGAGACGTTGACAGAAGATGGCAAGATTTTCAACAAAAAAAAAAAGAAAATTTCTTCTATTCTACTTCTTCCCTTTGAAGTGCCTTTGACATGAAGTTGTGGTTTTTGTTTGTTTTTAGATGTTTTTGTTTTGTAATTTTAAAAAATTTTTTAAATATTATTTAAAAATAATTTTAAATAATAATTTAAAATATATCTTGTAATGTTTTTATTTAAACATTTTAAATGTTTTTCAACATATTTTAAGACAATGTTAGGACTAACTGAACATTTTCAATGTAAGTTTTAGATGTTAACCCCGCCACTTGTACTAATTAAGTTTTCCATTTAGGTGCTGATGAAGGTGACAGCGTATCACCAAAAACACCAAAAAAATTTTACATTTAGAATAAAGTTCTTCACCAAACGGGCTTAGCCAATCCTTCACCTGACGCTGTGATGCTGAGCGTGAGAGAGGGGGGGGTGGGAGAGAGAGAAGAAGAGAGGAACGCGTTATGCCCAAACTAGAATTTTCTTTAAAACAAAAAATTCCATGTCTCTAAAGGTTTTGGAAAGCTTCATTATTGTCTTTTAATTCGAACTATTGATTTCTTCGTTGTTACTTTCACTTTCTGATAATATTGCAACAGCCTGGTTTATCTGAAACTCTTTTACATAGTATTAAATATAGTATGTAAGAGGGAGAGTTATATTTGTATCTTTTTTATCATAAGTAGTTATTAGTATCTTTAATTTTTTAATGGGGAAAACTACTACTATAAAAAAAATAGTAAATTGTAAATTCAAACAATTTGAAATTTTTTAATTATACCACATAATTTGTGGTAAAATAACAAAGCCCCGGATTCTTGAGATACGTTCAGTCAAATTATATGGAAGTCTAAGAAATAAGTTAATTTTTCAAAAAATTTAAAAAAATAAACAAATTAAATTTCCCAAAAGCTATCCAACCGATCTAGCCCATCTTGTGCACACAATTTATTGTCCTGGTCCCTCCTAACGCAATTCTTGTAGTGCTGTAATATCTATTTTATACTTTATACTTATAGATTATAGTTATACTTATTCAGTTCAGAATTTATTACAGTTCAATTCGAAGTGATTAATTCTAAGTAGTCCCAGATTTCCTCTATAACAAAAAAATAATAAAAAATAATTACCCAGTCTCACAGCAATAGCTAAACGGTCAATGTACTGTGATATTTGTTATTGTTTTCAATAATAAGATTCTTAGAATATTAAAATTTAAAATTAAATCTGAAAATAGAGGTTATAACGAACCCATTTACTTAAATTCGATTGAGTTACTCCATTAATTAACAACCAAACAATGTGATTAAATCAAACAATCAATTACTTTAATTTTAGATTCTTAGAACGAAGACAAACATCCATATACTGTTGAAATATTTGTTCAAAAATAACAAAAAATACATCTCTAATTACAATATAAAAATTTGCCAAAGATTTAGAAATCAAAACAATAATCCGTAAAAATAAATTATTCTTCGTTAACATAATAGTGTCAAGTGAATGTAAAAGCAAAGATTTACACGAGTAATTTAATACTGATTACCTAAAAAGGGAGTTGTATCTAATCATGAGAATTACATACAATAATTCTCTTAAATCACATTTATTAAATCTTTATTCACGTATTACCATCAAGATTAGCAGGTGGTCTGAAAAATAACATTCTTTGTAATAATTTTTTTTTAAATTCCTTTATTAATAGTATATTACTTTATGAGGCGGAGAAGCATGACTTTTCTTGACGCGCCCGATATTACGCGACGAGCGAAGTGAGGGCCCTCCAAGTCCGGAATAAAATATCGGTTAGCCTACAAGCACTTCCAAGAGTGGTGCGATACAAGAGGAGTACAGCAAGTTACCGAAGACGTTTTACTGGCATATTTAAATATAAGGGAAAATGAAAATAAATGGAAATCTTCTACAATGTGGTCACGATACTCTATGATAAAATCCGAGTTAGTAATTAGTAGTATACTCTACTAAATTATAAAAATATTTCAGATTGTTTTGTTAATTGGGGTTACCGGCGCCTGTCGATGCGACGAAATGGTAAAAATAAAGACTGTGGACATTGAGGATAAAGAAAATGTAATAATTATCAAAATCCCAGACAGTAAAACACGACAAATTAGATCTTTTACGATAATTGGTCAAAACTACATTAAATTGTATAAAAAGTATGCATCACTGCGGCCTGAAAATTTCACAGTAAACCGATTTTTTATCAAGTACCAAAATGGAAAGTGTTACCGAAGCGTCATGGGAATACATTCGATCAGCGCAGTAGCCCAAAAAGTAGCTAGTTATTTAAATTTAAACGATGAAAGCGCATACACGGGTCACTCTTTACGACGAACTTCAGCAACACTTTTAATTGATGGAGGCGGAAATCTAGAATGCCTCAAACGACATGGGGGCTGGAAATCAAGCACGGTTGCCGAAGGATATATAGAGGATTCAATAAGAAATAAGAACGATAATGCTCAAAAATTTTTAAACCCTCATGATTCGCCAACATCGGGAATGATTGCAGAAAGTTGTTCTAGACCATCAGTATCGTCAACAATTACTAATGCGTATCAAGAGTCGGGAACATTTTTGCACGGTTTCAATTTTGAAAATGCCTCATTAACTAATTGTACTTTTAATATTACTATAAATAATAATGATGTTTAATTGTTGTTAATGACATTTGTATTGTTGCTTTGTGACATGTTTCATATTGTTGCCATGACAACATTTTCCCTCCGCCTAAAGAAATGGGAAAAAAAACTGCTGCCGGCGGAGACATCAAACTTAGACAGGATCAAGTTAGATAAGTAATCTCATCATTATTTGCCGTTTGAAGAAAAAAATTTTTAATAAATATATAATTTTACACAGAAGTTTTTATTTCATTGTAACTTTTTTTTACAAATACACTTTAAATAAGATTGAATATCAATTAGGCCCATTAACTTACTACATTAAATTAAACTAACCCAATATTAATAGTTACGTGCTTGTCCGTGCATGTTAGTAGAAGTATATACCCAAAATAAAACAAATCCTTTGAGGATAGAAAAACCTTACATTTAATTTTAGAGTGTTGGCCAAATACGCCATAGGAGACTTCATCGTTATTCCAAATTCGTTCTTTGGATGATAATTCTGAAAAATAAAACTCTTCAGTTTCTCTTTATCAGCAGTATTGTCTAATTTTTGTTAAATATTTTAATTTTATAACTACTTTGAGTATCAGATGAAATTTAAACACTTTAATTCCATAAATTTAAAATTCATTTATAGAGATACTAATTTTAGCTTATTAACATTTTGGGTTTTATAGTAACAACAGAGAGACAGAATCTCTGAAGAAATAAAACAACGGAACAAAATAAGATCTAATGAAATTAGGAAAGATGAAAGAATATGCAATACAGAAAGTATAAGACAAGTTATACCTAGCTGAGAAAGAAAGAATTTTTTTTAAACTAAAACACAACCAAGGGTTCCCAACAACAAATAGAGAAAAACTCCTGAAAATAACAAAAAACTCGCACTGAACTCTACCTTCTGTAAGTGCCATCTTCGCGACGAAGGTTGGCAATCATCATGGCTATTCTGACCTTCGAGGCAGCTGCTCTAAGCAATTGCCTTGAGCTGCAACCAAACGACTCTCTTAGGTTCTTCAAACAGGTAACGCGTCTTCTTCCTACACTTCTCATACCCTCTATTTTTCTCTATTTTTCCTTGAATTATGAGTCTCAAGATGTTGAATCTTTCGCGTCTCATCACCTGTCCGAAATATTGCAATTTCCTTCTCTGCCTATTCTCTTAACATTTCTGTATTCGTGACTCTATCTACCCATGGAATCCTTAACAATCTTCTAAATGTCCACATTTCAAACGCGTTAAGTCGATTTATTGTATTCCGGTTTAATGTCCATGATTCAGCTCCATAGTAGAGTACACTGTGAACATAGCATTTAATTAGCCTTATTCTGAGGGTCAATGTCAGATCTTTGCTGCATAAAATCTTTTTCATTTTTTACTAAGATGACACGTGCTTTTTCGATTCTATCTCTTATCTCTGCAGTATAATCGTTATTTTCTGTGATTATCGTTCCCAAGTAAGTATATCCTTTACTATTTTAATCTGCTGGTTGCCTGCCGTTAATATTTCATTTGTATTGTTGTTCATGCTAATTTTCATACATTTAGTTTTTTTGATGTTAAGAGAAAGTCCGTATTCTCCACTTTATCTTAATATTTTGTTTATTATTCTACTGAACTCTATACAAGTAGTCAAAAAATACGTGACAGACAACAGCATCAGCGAAATAATAATAAAGCAAGCCCTTGGCGAAGACAATATAGTAATAGAGGCTGTAAAACGTGAAGGAGAAATACTATTAAAACGGATTAAAGACATATTTAAACGAGGTCTTGGAAACGGAATAATCTAAAAGAAATCTTATCTCAGTGTAACAAGGCCATAACAATATGTCTCCACAAAAAAAGGTGATATCACCGATCTTGAGATCTATATATGTAAGTCTTGTTTGTCAAAGACTTGAAAGACAAACTGAACTTCTACTATTTAAAAGAACAAGCATATTTTAGGAAAACTTACTGGACAAATGATCATCTTCAAACAATTGTTTGAAAATAATCATTATCAGACAATGTCCTGATAGATAAGTCTGTGAAATATAATATTCATTTAGCCTTGGTGTGTATGATATACATAAAACATTTAATATGGCAGAACTAATATCAATAATGGCAGGATTATAATGCAGGATTGTATGCGATACAAAAAATTCGCAAAGACAGTGACTAAAATTAAATTGAACTATCATTGCTTTTGCCAACACAAGATGCTGCTAGTTTTAACAGTGTTCCTGAGGATTGGAGCTGGAAAAATTTGAATACCAATTAAAACTTTCAATAAAACTGAAATTAATTTTCTGCAGATGGAAGGGAAACAGAAAGTAAGTGGTATGCTTAAGTGCTTTCTAGTTGGCCTAAATTGTTCTGCTGAAGCCTGCAATGACATGGAAACATTAAAATTGATCGAAAAATTCCAGGAAATATTGATACTGATTTAGATCCTGAATCGCAGCCTAGACAATAAAAGAAAATGAAAAAACAATAGCTGGAAAACAACTATTTAAATATAAAATTATGAATCATATTAACTCGCCTGGAAATTGTCAGTGAATTAAGCCTAACGGGGATACCACTAAAAAAAACGCGCCTCCAGGTTCTACCTCCCTGAACCTTTCCTGAGCCTTGGAGGACATCGAGGCTGGTACTGCTCCCCAAGACTGGGAAAAAGTATCGCCCCATCTGTTTTCTTCCTTACATCGGTAATCTGTATGAAAGGATGCTGCGAATACAGAGTACAGAGGGGATGTACAGCGCTGGGCAGCCCTGCTGTTGTTCGATGTTAGGAATGCATTCAATACGCTGCAGTGGCATGAGGTAATAAAGGCAATGGAGGAGAGTGATTATCCTGGTTACCTGATGAATGTGATGGCGGAATATCTGTCCGAGAAAAAAATTGTGAAAAAGGGCACGATCGTGGACGTGACGGCTGGAGTCCCTCAGAGATCTGTCTTGGGCCCGACGCTATAGAACCTGGCATATGATGGTGTTATGAACTGTGAATATGGAGAGGGTACAACCGCCTTTGCATTCGCGGATGATCTCGCTGTACTGGTAGTGGCCCGGGTTGAGCCAGATCTCAAACACCCGGTTCGGAACGCACACGGCATCGTAAAGAAATGGATGACCCAGCACGGACTGAAACTTGCGGCAGAGAAAATCGAAGCCATTATTCTGAAGGGGAAAAGGAACAGGCAAAGTGTTAAATTACAATATGCGGGAGCATGTCTAACACACAAGAAACACGCAAAGTACCTCGGAGTGACATTGCACCAGAATGAAAAATGAGGGGAGCACGTGCACGAGGTGGCCCGGAAGGCTGCAAATAGTGCAGCTGCGTTGGGGAGGGTGATGCCCAACATTGGATGACCCAAATCCGAAAGGAGGAAGGTCTTACACGGTGTTGTCGTCCTCTACGCGGCCCCAGTATGGAGCGGGGTGGTAGAAATAACGGCCTATAGGAGGCTCATGGCACGAGTGGACAGAACAAGTCTGTTGCGAGTGACATGCGCCTACAGGACTGTGTCTGCAGCAGCTTTGTGGATCATCACTGGATCTGTTCCGTTGCATGTTCTGGCGGTGGAAAGAAAAGGGCTCTATAAGAGAAGAGGCCCAAAATTTACTATGACCGAGAGAAGACAGGAAAGGGAAAGGACAATTGAAAGATGACAAGAAGAATGGAATAACAAAGAGGATGTGGCAGAGTGGACGAAAATGCTGATTCCGAACATAAGATATTGGGTGGACTGTAGTCATAGTCGACTGGAATATTTCCTGACGCAGGTGTTTACAGGACACGGGTATTTTTGAGCCTATCCCTCTAGGTTTTAAAAGGCCTACACAGATGAATGCCTATACTGCGGACACTCGGACACTGTGACACATACGATGTTAGAGTGCGACAGATGGATAATAGAAAGGAATACAATGGCAAGAGAGACAAATGTGAATTGTGTTGCAGTGAGAGAAATGATTGAGAGAATGATTGAAAATAAAGCAGGTTGGACTAGTATACACAACTATATCCGTGCAGTTATCAAGAAAAAAGAAAAAAAGAAAAACAGCTTGACCTAAGGTAAGAGGAAAAGATGCTGGCAGTTGAAAGTAGAAAAGTAGGTCTCAGACTATATAAGTTAGAGAAAATAAGTCAGACTGTGGGGAAGGAGGAAATGCGCGTCTGGGAATGAAATCGAGTGGAACGAGACAGGGAGCCAGCCTCCTTGCTGACAGTTTGTGGATGAATGAAGGTAGTGCTTCGGAAGTGATGCCGGCCTTACAGCGGCCATTCTGGATCGCTTGATGACAGAGGAGCGTCTGGTTTAGCAGGTAGGCGTTCGGCGTAGACTCGGCGACGAGATGGCGTTTTAAAGTACCCCAGGAACTATCGCCGGGAGTACGAAGAACGAATCCTGCACCAAGGACGGTCAGGCGGCGTCCTGAACTGAGATGTCTTTTAAAGATTCCAGGCACTCCCTCTATAAAGACGAAAAAAAGTTGTACCTCATAAGTGATCGGTAAAAACGTCGATAATAACCTAATAATACCATTCTTGAGTATCCAAAAAACCGGTCAACTTCGGAGTGCTGTAAAAATTAATGAAAGTATGTAAAGTAGTGAAAATTTATTGCAAAACCCTCTAAAATATTGTTTTGCCATAATTTTATTGTAAAATGTTGTCTATTACTTGTTACTTCTTCGTAAAACTCTTTTTCGTCTATGGTTCTCTCCTCAATTGGTGCATCGTCATTCATTCTAGTGATTTTTCCGAACTGACCTTTTAGCATTAACAGCTCAATAATTGTGGCGTTTTAAAACGTAATCAAATCAATTATAATAATAACTGGACTAATTATTTGAGTACTTCTTTTAAATATTTATAAGTTTTGTGGAAACTTACATATATTTGTAACAAACTGTATGATTTACAGTAAAAATCTTTATAAATGACATAATGTCTGAAAAAAAACCTAAATGTGTTTTACGAACTCAATTTGATAATTTGTTGCAACTTTTTGGAATTTATTACCATTTTAATGAACAGCTGTTACTTAAATAAAGTTCAAGATCGACATTGTGTCAACTTAATTAGTCTCGTAATGTACGTGCAAATTGCATCTACAAATTGATTTTTTACTAGGAAGTTTTAAAACAATGACAATCATGTATTCATTATGCGTACACAGTAAGCCAGAACTTCAATCAGTATGTGCAGTATACTAAATAGTTCAGAAAACACAATAAAATTATATATTGTTCATTTGGAAGAAGAGGGTTATATCACAAAATATTAAAGATTTTTTATTGCATCAATTGCTTCGAAATAATAATAATAGGTAATAATTATTATTATTAATATTATTATACATAAGCGAGGGCAATAGAACTAAGTCCCTATTATGCCCAAAAACAAAGACATTTTAATAATAACCTACTAGTAAATAACAAAATTACAAATAAAAGAAATAAAATTACAATTTTTGGTTTAAAAGAAAAACAAT